TTCGGAAGTGGCATCATTAAGCATAAATAAATTTAGATTTTTCATAAAAAGTAAGCTATTTACTGAGCAGAATATAATATAATACAATTGTGTAATTTGGCCTACTTAAAACTACACTACATTGTTTATGTACACTTGAAAACATTTTATAAGAATAATTTGTTCTATAAATTAAAAACAAAAAAAATTCTCTTCAACTCATCCATGGATATACTGTACCTATTTATTAAGTAAGTATTAAAACTTGTGCATTTGGTATTGATAATATTTTCTTCCACCATGTTGAAGTACTGTAGCCCTTTCATTGATCCCTATGTCATATTATTAACTGCTGTATTGAGAGACAATACTTTCCTTATATGTGGAAACAGGCGATTGGTTTACCTTTACCTAAAAAGAATAACTAATTTTTGAAAAAATTTTGTGTAATCAAGTGTACAATTATTTTACGAGTAACAGACTTTTGCCTCAGTCGCAATGTGGTTTCGGAAGGGGTAATGGTACTTCGACTGCCCTAGTCACCGTCACTGATGACTTAATAAAGGCTCATGATATGGGTTTGGTTAGCGTTTTGGCTTTATTGGATTTCTCTAAGGCTTTTGATACCATAAATCATAAGCTTTTATGTTCTAAACTCAAGTATTATGCATTTGATAATGATTCACTCACACTAATTAAATCTTATTTACATTGAAGATCCCAGAGTATACGTGTTGATAATACTTTATCTACCAGTTTAGAAATTCTCTCTGGTGTTCCTCAGGGTTCGATTCTGGGTCCCCTGCTTTTCATGATTTATACTGCCAACATATTAGAATCTGTTCAAGCATATGCTGATGATACTCAACTTTATTTTCATTTTAATATTAATGATTTTCGACAGGCAAATGACGTCATCAACTCTGAGTTACAAACTATAAAATTGTTATCGGATGAGCATAATTTAAAATTGAACTCGAGTTAGTCGAAAGTTTTGTTTTTTGGTAGTGACAAAGATTTGCGAATTTTAAGACGTAATTTTGAGGTTATGATCGATGGTATTCCAGTTCCCATTACTAGCCATGCAAAAAATTTAGGAGTAATTCTTGACTGTAAGTTGCGTTTTGATGAGCATGTTAAATCATTAATACAAAAAGCTTATTCATCTNACTCTCAGACAATCATTATCTCCGATCCTCCACCCCCTCGACCATTTACCACCTTTTATACCCCCCTCACTTGTCCCACAGCCCTGATTCAGCCTCGCCATATGAATTTCACTAATGACTGATTGTGAATCATTTAATTTAATTCCTGCAGGCCACACCGCAGTTACCTTGAAAAAAATGTGGTGAGCCTTGGTTAGGGATGAGGATGGAGGGACGGGAAGTGAATGAAGGGAGTTAAATTGTCGGAGAGGTGGTATTACAAAAGTATTATCTCTTTCTATCGGTTTATTTTCCAATTATGCTCTTGTTTCCCTATTTCATTACTAAGTGGATCCATGTTTATTTGTCTCCATAAAAGAAAAATCACTTAAACAGTTGAAGGGTCACAGAGGTGGTTGTTTGGGGTAGCCTTTGGTTGGACAACAAGAATAAAAATTATTTTACATTCAGAAATCAGTTGTATCACCCTAGCCCCTTGGGGGTGGATTTTTAGGGTGAAGGAGGAGTTATAGGTCTTCTTGCTCATTGAGACTTGTGATCTACATATTGAGAACTATCAACCTGCAAAATTTGAAGAAAATTAGCCGAAAGCCATTTTCCATAAGAAAAGTGCGGGGTCCTTTCTCAATTGGTTTTGGTTTTCGAGATATAACCTAAAAATGATAAAATCTCAATTTTTTTTACGTATTTTGCTAAAACCATTAATAGGGCCTTAAAATACTATACCTACTCTTTAAAAACGATTTGGTTTTATCCTGATATCATTTTTAGTCTTTGAGAAATCGCATGTTGAAATTTAGTAGTTTGACTTATTTGTCGATGTTTGAATATATTGACAACACAGCACCAAAACCACAAATCTAAATTCATCTTCTTAAATGTTTTTGGGATCGCTGATCATGAATCTGAACTCCAAAATACTCTATCGCGTCAAATTTTACAATAAACTTACAAAAAATATCTAAAAATTCAATATATGGGCGATATTTTACGCATAAGAGTACGCATAAGAATACGCTCAATCCTGAACTCATAAATTCTATTCCCAAAAATCCTAAGTCCGTAAACCCATAAAGTTTGTGGTGCTATGCTGTGCTTCTTGTTTGTAAAACGCCAACCTTAATGAAGTTTCATTCTTTCCTGTAGAGAGAAATACGCTATCATTCATTGATTCATATGGGACAAATTATATAAACCTAGGCAAATTCCTTCTGGTGTTCCGCAGGGTTCCATTGTAGGGCCTGTTTTATTTAGTATTTATACCAGTCAGTTTGTTAAATTTATCTAATACTATTCTATTCATATGTATGCTGATGATATTCAACTGTATTATTCATTTAATTTCTCGGATAATGAAACAGCCATTGTCAAAATTAATACTGACCTACAAAGGATTTATGATACTTCTAAAAATCACCATTTGGTTTTGAATCCCGCTAAATCTGCCGCGATTTTATTTGGACATAAGCGTACTATTTCCAATTTGGAAAATTTAATACAATTTGAAATAATGGGCTCACCAATAACAAATATATGAAAGTTGCAAAAATTTTGTTTAGGACTTGATCGTTCACTTGGGTTCAGAGAGCAAGTCAGTAAACTTATACAACGGTCATACAATGCTTTGAGACTTCTATATCCTCGTAGGAGTTATATTGACTAGCCACTTCAACTACTGTGCACCAGTTTACGGGCCTTGTTTAGACCCGACTTCTAAAAACCGTATTCAACGCGTACAAAATTCATGTATTCGCTTCCTATACGGTATAAGAAAATTTGAACATGTTTCGCATAAACTTATACAGGGTCGGAAAGTCCCCATGGTTCATCGGCCGTTACGTGAGAGCGATAAAGAAAGTAATAGAAATCCGTGCGATAGAGAAAGATGGCTATAATAAAGGCGTCTAATAGTCACCGCCCATTTCGCCCTTCCACAAATAAGATCCACTTCTTATCCATGGATATACTGTACCCATTTATTAAGTATTAAAACTTGTGCATTTGGTATTGATAATATTTTCTTCCACCATGTTGAAGTACTTAGCCCTTTCATTGATCCCTATGTTACTCATATTATTAACTGCTGTATTGAGAGACAATACTTTCCTTATATGTGGAAACAGGCGATTAGTTTACCTTTACCTAAAAAGAATAACCCTACTTCTCTTTCCGATCTTAGAATAATCAGTATATTACCGGCTCTTTCAAAATTTTTTAAAAAATTTTGTATAATCAAGTGTACAATTATTTTACGAGTAATAGACTTTTGCCTCAGTCGCAATGTGGTTTCAGAAGGGGTAGTGGTACTTCGACTGCCCTAGTTACCGTCACTGATGACTTAATAAAGGCTCATGATATGATGATGTTTGTATTTGGTTAGCGTTTTGGCTTTATTGGATTTCACTAAGGCCTTTGATAGCATAAATCATAAGCTTTTATGTTCTAAACTCAAGTATTATGCATTTGATAATAATTCACTCACACTAATTAAATCTTATTTACATGGAAGATCCCAGAGTATACGTGTTGATAATACTTTATCTACCAGTTTAGAAATTCTCTCTGGTGTTCCTCAGGGTTCGATTCTGGGTCCTCTGCTTCTCATGATTTATACTGCCAACATATTAGAATCTGTTCAAGCATATGCTGATGATACTCAACTTTATTTTCATTTTAATATTAACGATTTTCGACAGGCAAATGACGTCATCAACTCTGAGTTACAAACTATAAAATTGTTATCGGATGAGCATAATTTAAAATTGAACTCGAATTAGTCGAAAGTTTTGTTTTTTGGTAGTGAAAAAGATTTGAGAATTTTAAGACGTAATTTTGAGGTTATGATCGATGGTATTCCAGTTCCCATTACTAGCCATGCAAAAAATTTAGGAGTAATTCTTGACTGTAAGTTGCGTTTTGATGAGCATTTTAAATCACTACTACAAAAAGCTTATTCATCTCTTAGGTTGATTTATTGTAGTCGTCACGTTCTTAATAAAAAATTTAAAGTTATGTTAATGCGAGTCACTTGCTCTTTCCCATTTAATTATTGTGACTACGTATATGGTCCTTGTCTTACTCAACAGGAGAAATACAGGATTCAAAAAGTACAAAATTCATGTTGTCGTCTTATTAGTGGTCTAAGAAAATATGACCATATATCTCATGTTATTGGGGCTCAATATGGAAAATCGTAGGCGTCACCATCTTTACAATTTTTTTCCATAAGATTATCACTATTCCTTCTCATCATTCTTTAAAAACTAATTTTTTACAGCGTGGTAATGTTCATTCCAGATATATTAGATTTAAAAACAAGTTCACGATGTCCCATCATAGAACTGCTTTTTTCGGAAGATGTTTTACATACAACGCTATTACATTTTATAATTCCCGTCCTGACGATTTCAAATTATTCAACATCAACAAATTTAAATATAAAGTTAAACAATATTTATTGAGCAGGCAGCATTCTACGTAAATTGTTAACGTGATTCTTGATTTGATACTTAATTTTGTTGTGCTATTCATTTCTTTATTATTTTATAAACAATAATACTCATACATATTTAAATACCTATTATGTTAAGATGTTTGTGTGNTTAAACAATATTTATTGAGCAGGCAGCATTCTACGTAAATTGTTAACGTGATTCTTGATTTGATACTTAATTTTGTTGTGCTATTCATTTCTTTATTATTTTATAAACAATAATACTCATACATATTTAAATACCTATTATGTTAAGATGTTTCTGTGTTTGTATTGCAATGTTATTCTACTTTGAAGATCATTACTTTCTCTTTTATGATATTGCTTACCTTATGGTTGAGTGGAGTAGCCTTGGCTAGACTTCGCCATAAGTTAGGTTGAATTATTTTCTTTTATTTGTGTTTGTATTATCGTAATTACCTGTCAAATAAAGCTGATATTATAATATTATTATTATTTGTAATAATCCATATAATACAGAAATTAACATGTTATCAAGTTAGTGTTTGTTTTATGCTTGCATATTAACCTGGAAAAATTTCAAAATTTTTATTTTTTTTATGTTGTAGGCGTTTTCATTAAACATATTTTTTAAATAACTTGTTGTGTGATATAATACATACCTACTTTCGTCATTTAATGTTGAAAATTAAGTTCATTTAAGAATCCGTACGCATAAATAAAAGTGGAGAATCGAACTTTTTTGAATTTGAATTTAAAATGGGGAAAATTTGATGAAGGCAATTAAACACATTGCACTATTTAGGCATTTTGATTACTTTTGCATTCTTTCAAATTTTGAGAATTTATATTAAATACAACATTTAATTTTATACATATAAAAAGTATCCACAATTAAAAGTCTAAAATTTAAAAAAATTGTATTATTTTATTAACAATGATTTCTTCTATTATTATTAAATTGGTTTAATACATCAAAAGCTCTAATTAAATACTTCAACAAAGATTTAAAAATATATCCAAGTCAGAAACTGATATTGGAAAACGGGTTAACCTAACTCACTAACTATTTGGATGAAAATGTACAATGAATGACATAAAATTGTTTGACATGTTTGGCCTCTATTTTTGTTTGGTATTCAATAAATTTATTTAATGTGTTACGCTGATTTACAAATTAATTATGGTTCAACTTGCGTTTTCAGTAGCAGTAAAAGTGCACTAGATGCGCGCCACGCTGAATTAAACATATTTCGAAAGCTTTCTGACGTGTTGGCGACGATGTGAGAGAAGAAAGTAAAACTTGTTGAAGAGGAAGGTAGAATATTACAGCTTTATTCTAAATCATTTGTATAAAGTAATATTGAAACTAAACCTATGACATAATTAGAATATGTGAATATTTTTTGCATTTATGTTTGGGTTTTATAGAACAATATTTCTTAGCCACATGAGCAAGGTACTCATAAAGTTGGTTAAGTTACAAATACTAGGTCTACTTTAACATTTAGCTTTAGCATCAAGGTAGACTTAGGGCATTTTGCATACATAATTTTTCATTCTTCATTTTTTCTTAATAATGTTTTATAGTATCATCACTTTAGCTACTCGTGAATAAAACCAAGTTTATCTAAGTTTCTTAGGCAATTTATGTCAGTATTTCATTTATATTTTAATGCTTCATGAAATTCCATTATTTTTTACAAACTCAATAATGTGAGATAATTTTATTATTCTTCCAATAAATCAGGCTCCATCGATTGCATCCTATATCCAATACCTCCCACATCTAGCTGTCCTGTGAACCTAAATCTTCTTCGTATATTGAATGCCCCAGGACTGTCTAAGGGATTTATTTTAAATTTTCTGTTAACTTCCAGCTTGTGGGCTTTAATTATTATTATTGAACATTTATTCAATTACTTTTTGTTACTTCTGTATATTATACTAAGCTTCGGCCTCAACTGAGTTGGAGTGTGATACTCCAGTCCACTGTTTTATCCAGTATGCAAATCCTTGTTCAACCAAAAAATTAGATGATTCACGACCAACTTCACCATTTAACTCAAAAAACATAACGATTGATAATTTCTTCTCTTTTGAGCATGGCCACCATATAGATTTTTTATATAGAGGTTGTATTATTTATTATTAATATCGTTGAATGTATACCACTGTATGTATATAATGGTGATGATGAACAGCACATAGGTAATGTCTACAAATATTACATTTTTTATAAAATCTCTGAAGATCTTTCTTTTGGATTGATGAAACTTGAGACAATGATATAATTAATTAATAGCAAAAATGTATTAAACATAGGTATACCTAAATCTAACAAAAAGTGGTGGAGATAGCAATTTCGACACTACCAAGTATTTTGAAAATTGGATGGACATGAATTTAATGTAATTTCCACAAAAATTCATTATCGAAAGAAAAACCGTCACACTGTTAAATTAATTTTAAATAACTATGTTGTTTACAGAAAAAATATAGGATTTTTTTATTGGAAATGCAATTTTAAATACAGTATATACAGGGTGATTCAGTCATAATGTCATTAATTTTAAACACGTATACGGAAGGCTTAATAAAGACAGAAAATCGGGAAAAAAATGTTTTACTCGACTTTTGAAAATGAAGGAAATCAACCCATAACTCCCGCTAAGAGGGCGGCCCTGTCAGATGCCCGGATGCTCGGAAAATTTTGTAACGTAATGTCACGAACAAATCGTCAGCTGAAGCAAACAGCGTGCCAAGTTCACATCATAATCTGTGGTTCACATTTAATTAATCCGCTTGAGTATACGGATACATATGTACGAAACCAATAAAATGCAAGTAAATAAAGGATCATGCTGCATTTTATTATAACTAATTTTAATAATTGTATTAGTGCAAAATGTTTTAACAAGCCTGACTTCTCGAAGTCAACTTTCGTTAAAAGAAAATTAATAAAGCAGAGGTTTGTAGGCACACTGTATTGTATCAAATAAAAAAAGTCGGCACACTAAATACCCGAATATACAAAATACACTACACACGGTTACAAAACCATTACCTAACAATTTAAAGCGTTTATTCAAATCTACCACCCTCCATATCTCCCGCATTTTTCCCGCATAGGAGTTAACATAACACATTTTCAAAAAGTTCAAGCTTTAGAAGCAGCTGATTTCCCCAATCGTCTTGAATTTTGCAATTGGTTCCTAAGTGCAGCAGAACTTTATTAACAAAGTGCTTTGGACGGATGAATGCTGTTTTACTCGTGCTGGCATTTTAAACAGATAAAAAACATAAGTATTGCTTTCCCAAAAATAATAAGTGCCTATCTAGGTTACACCAAAGTTTAGATTTACACTAAAGTTTACATTTATTATGTAAACTTTGGTTATACGCAACTGCATATTGAATAATAAATTGAAATACTAAAACTGTGTATTATTTAACATAATAAATTATAAAACGTGAAAACGTTAGTAATATTAAAAATGATAAATTGTAATAAGCGTACATTCGAAAACAATCATCCCTATTCAATTTGATGACACGATTTTCCTGTAATAAAAGACCGACAACTTTTTGCTCTACTTTGAATGGAATACGATCCTACTACAGTTCGTATTAGTCTAGGAGCCAGATCAAGTTCCGTGTACTAGCTATAAAAATAAACTTTTTACAGCCATTTAAACATTTAATTTGTTGATAACAATTAAACTGACTACTTTCAGGCTTTGCAACCAAGTTTTTTGGATTCAGGAGGTCAAAATACTTTAGAATAAGTTGCTTGCAGCCGTGCCACTCTGGTTGGCAACGGAACCCTGTCTGGTTCCTAGACTATATAAAGTGCACGTGCAAATTAGAAGGTTATTGACCTCGACACAGGTTAGCCCAGGTCGGAAACACGTACCGAGTTGTTTATTTGTCTCCGTCCGATTGTATTTTTATCTTCTATTACTTACAGTCAGTATTTAAATACTACATACATTTCACCCTCTCTTTATAATTTATTTAGTGAGTGTTGGTTTTTTATGTAATTATTTTTGTAATGAAATTGATATGGTTATGAAATGAAATTTAAATTATTTGAACTCTTGGGGTTTTGTAAATTTTATTTAAAGTGAAACATAGCTAACTTCTTTGCAGCCATAATAGTCACATTTGGTCAGATGAAAACCCGCACACTATTCGTCAGTTTAGCTTTCAGAGGAGATTCGGTGTCAATGTATGGGAAGGAGTATATGGCGATCGTTTAATTGGGCTGTATTTTCTACATGAACATCTGAATGAGCCGCGTTACTTTCAATTTTTAGTAGAAGGCTTACAGCAAATTAAAAAATTATCACTATGATGTTAATAAAAAATGATTTTGACAAGTCATACTCAGACCTCCTCGAGGTTCTTGCTGGGCAACAATAACAATTTAATATGTTGATTGCATAATTATAAAAAAATAATTTATAGCATTTTAAATTATTATTGGCTGACCTGAGCAAACCGTTTATTTATTGTCATTATATGTGCGAAAATATATAAATATGGCAACATTGCATCTAGGTCGCTTTGTTCATATCGTAGCCGGCTGACGTCAGCCGGTCAGTAACAGCCTGAAAAGAGGGTTAAATAATGATTTGAAAATATTGTTTTTTCATCTTAAATATGCATTTAATTTTTTTTAATCACGGCATCGTATTATACTAATTTTTCTCTATCTGCTCTTAAAATTAATGACATTATGACTGTATACACCCTGTATGTAGTGTAAATACAGTGTAGAACTATTTGTGATATTGGTGAAAATACCTTTTACCATGTTCGTCAGTGGTTGTCAGATTTATTTACCAGTTCTGTGCATTTTTCTTTTAATTGATTATATTTTTTGTTCACGTAATTAAGTCAATGTGGTACATATTTTTGTCTATTTTATTATTCTGCATCTAGAAACCAGTGGTTTTATACCTCCAGTTCATTAAAGTTTTTTGAAGTTATGACGTAGACATAAAATATATTTAATACTCTCATAATTTTTATCTGCATGGCGTTGCAAATATCAAATGTAAATTGTAGATAGGACTGTATTGTAATTTTTCGCCTTCGGAGGGTGTACATGCTCATCTAACGCGTTAAAAATTCAAGGACCAGTATTCCTGAGTTCGGCCCTGACTACCTGCCTATCACCCTACATAAAAATATGAAAAATATCCACGTCAATTGGAAATAGAAATTTGGTATGGTTGTGACATTCATTTAATCATTTTTCTTTCAGGATGTGGAGTATCGAGTCCGAGACAGCAGGCACAAAGAAGGATCGTAGGAGGCGAGGAGGCGGGTTTCGGTACATTCCCCTGGCAGGCCTACATAAGAATCGGCTCGTCAAGGTATGTCGTTTGATTACTTTATGTTTGGGTATAAGGTTGACAGTAAAATATTGCCACTTCATATTGCGATACGTACAGTGCGTTGCTCTTCTTAAGTGAAAGTAAGTTTATAAAACATCGCTGCGGCATGCAGCAGGCCAATCTTTGTCAAACTTCAAATAGGTATACGCTGTATATTCAGTTCTCCCGTAATCATCATCCACAGAAGTTTAAATAGAATAATAGGTAATATACATATTTTTTAATGGAACATATTTTTCATTATTTAAATTCCGCATGCATACAAGTGTATATTTTTGAGCTTCGTAATCACACTTTTGGCACATTAATTTGTAGATTCTGAATAAAATTCCTTATTTAGCTGCTTCATTTGTCGTCCTTTTCTTGAATGTACTTTACAAGTGATTGATTACTTACTTCTTACGTAGGTATACAATGAAATACATATTGGGTATTTAGAAAAATATTTGAATTAAATACCTATACAGGGTGTCCCGTTTAAAACTCCCCAGCTGGATATCTCGAAAACGGAAAAAGATAAATGATTTCTGAAAAATCCACTGTATAGTTTCAATAAATGGCTTTACTTGTGAGTACAAATCCCGTACCTCTCAGTGCAGGTATAGATGTCGCTACAATCCGAAAACATATTTTTTTGACAGCAGTTTTGAAAAGCAGCGCACATGAAAGATCTCTAACTTATAAGCAACTTTTGTGATGAAAACAATTTTCGAAAAGCCACTAGTTTCCGAGATACTTGGATTTGAGGTAATTTTTCCAGGAGGAAGATTTTTTAAAGTTAAGTTTTCAGGCATAACTACTGCAGATTTTCGTCGTATTAGATTGGTTTGAATAAAATAGTGATGAATTAATTTTATTTAACTAATAGATATCACAGGAAATTACTTCATTTCTTGTTTACGCAAATCATAGTCTTTTAAATCAAGATAAAGTAATATTTATTTAACAAAAACTGATGCAAAATTAACAATAATTACAAATAATATCCATTGTCAGTCCATATAATGTTATTTAAAAACTGGTCGTTTTCTTGAACCTTCTTTTGTTTTCTTGAAGTGTCAAAGTTGATTACAATTTACTGTTATCATAACAACCAGTCTACACCTTCAACTTTGACACGTTTGACATTTATTCAGTATGGTCCAGTACACGAATGAAGAAAAGCTCGATATAATTTTAATATTCGGCGAATGCCGTAGAAATTCCAGAGAAGCAGAAAGACTTTATCAGGTACGTTACCCAAACCGTCGACATCCCGATCATAAAGCCTTTTTGTCTTTATTGATGAATTTGCTTCATTGTGGTTCTTTTAACAAAAAGAAATCGTAGAAACACTGTTAAAAATGATAGAAATACTGCCGTGGTATTAGGTAAGGTTAAAACTAATCCACATACCTCGGTGAGAGCTATACAACAGGAAACGGGGATTTTCGGAACATCGGTCCATAATATCTTGAAGCGAAATACGTATCATCCTTACAAAGTGCGTCTTTTACATAGTTTACGTCCTGGTGATATGCTACGAAGACTAAATTTTATTGCAGAATTGGAAATAAAGGCTCAAGAAAACAACCAGTTTTTAAATACATTGAATGGACTGACGAGTCGATTTACTAAAAATGGGATTTTGAATAGACAGAATAGCCATTTCTGGCATGACAGTAACCCTAGATGGACCAAAGACAGACATTTCCAAACCACGTTTTCTATAAATGTATGGTGTGGTATTATTAATGGCATATTAATTGGACCGTATTTATATGAGGAAAATTTGAACGGTCGCAAATATTTACAATTCCTTCAGACCCAACTATATGTTCTTTTGGAAGAAGTTCCTTTAGTTATGAGACAAAATATCCGGTTCCAATAAGACGGGGCACCAGCTCATAATGAAAGGAGGGTGCAAAATTTTCTTCATGAATATTTTCAGGGGCGATGGATAGGCACCAATGGTCCAATAAGGTGGCCTGCCCGCACTCATGATTTAACCCCACTCGATTTTTTCTTGTAGGGTTACCTAAAGAACCTAATTTACCAAACATAAATTGAAGACTTGGCTGACTTGTGCAATAAAATTTACACGAGCTGTGCATATATTCCTCGAAATGTTTTATTACGGGTAACTGATACCGAACTTAGAAAAAGATATGAATTATGCATTCATGAAAATGGCGGCAATTTTGAACATTTATTGTTACTCGTTTATTATGTTAATTTAGTATCGTTTATTTGTAATTTTTGTTAATTTCATCAGTTTTTGTTAAATAAATATTACTTTATCTTGATCGAAAAGACTACGATTTGCGTAAACAAGATTAAATGAAGTAATTTCCTGTGATATCTATTAGTTAAATAAAATTAATTAAGTTAAATAAAATTAATTAATAAAATTAATTCATCACTGTTTTATTCAAAGCAATCTAATACGACGAAAATCTGCAGTAGTTACGCCTGAAAACTTAACTTTAAAAACTCTTCCTCCTGGAAAAAAATTTCCTCAAATCCAAGTATCTCGGAAACTAGTGGCTTTTCGAAAATTGTTTATATCACAAAAGTTGCTTATAATATAGAGATCTTTCATATGCGCCACTTTTCAAAACTGCTGTCAACAAAATATGTTTTCGGATTGCAGCGACATCTATACCTGCACAGAGGAACGGGATTTGTACTCACAAATAAAGCCATTTATTGAAACTATACAGTGAATTTTTTAGAAATCATTTATCTTTTCTGTTTTCGAGATATCCAGCTGGGGAGTTTTAAACGGAACACCCTGTATATGTACACTATGTATGTTACAAAATGATGGAAAAAAAATCATATTTCTTTCCAGTCTTAAAAAAATCGCTGAAACAGTTCAATTAGTAAATAGAAATTGTCACTTCTGCAATATTTTCTATTTTTTTGAGTCATGTTTAACAGACTTATAACATTACCGACATTTTTTTTTTAATTGGACGTTCTATATTTTGTAGTATAAATAAATACATAACATAACATACCATACATAATAAACCAGGCGGTATCTGTTTTGGTTTGGGTGAATCGTATATCCACGGACATTTTTGGCTATTTGGCTTTCAAATATCACTAGAAATGAACATTTTTCTATGCGCATAAAAAAAAACGTGGGCTTAACTTTTGGCGGCACAATATGTTAAAAAAATTCGAAAAATGTCATATTTTTCTTCCTATTTATTTATGTATCTTTTCAAGAGTTGATTTTAGGNGATTACATATTACTATTACCATAACTACAAGTCTACACCTTCAACTTTGACACATTTAACATTTATTCAGTATGGTCCAGTACACGAATGAAGAAAAGCTCGACATAATTTTAATATTCGGTGAATGCCGTAGAAATTCCAGAGAAGCAGAAAGACTTTATCAGGTACGTTACCCAAACCGTCGACATCCCGATCATAAAACCTTTTTGTCTTTATAGACGAATTTGCTTCATTGTGGTTCTTTTAACAAAAAGAATCATCGTAGAAACACTGTTACAAATGCTAGAAACACTGCTGTGGTATTAGGTAAGGTTGAAACTAATCCACATACCTCGGTGCGAGATATACAACAAGAAACGGGGATTTTCGGAACATCGGTCCATAATATCTTGAAGCGAAATACGTATCATCCTTACAAAGTGCATCTTTTACATAGTTTACGTCCTGTTGATATGCTACGAAGACTAAATTTTATTGCAGAAATGGAAATAAAGGCTCAAGAAAACAACCAGTTTTTAAATAACATTGTATGGACTGTCGATAGTCGATTTACAAAAAATGGGATTTTTAATAGACAGAAAGAATAGCCATTTCTGGCATGACAGTAACCCTAGATGGACCAAAGACAGACATTTCCAAACCACATTTTCTATAAATGTATGGTGTGGTATTATTAATGGCATATTAATTGGACCCTATTTATATGAGGAAAATTTGAACGGTCGCAAATATTTACAATTCCTTCAGACCCAACTAAATGTTCTTTTGGAAGAAGTTCCTTTAGTTATGAGACAAAATATTTGGTTCCAACAAGACCGGGCACCAGCTCATAATGAAAGGAGGGTGCAAAATTTTCTTCATGAATATTTTCAGGGGGCGATGGATAGGCACCAATGGTCCAATAAGGTGGCCTGCCCGCACTCATGATTTAACCCCACTCGATTTTTTCTTGTGGGGTTACCTAAAGAACCTAATTTACCAAACAGAAATTGAAGACTTGGCTGACTTGTGCAATAAAATTTACGCGAACTGTCCATCTATTCCTCGAAATGTTTTATTACGGGCTGATTAACTGATACCGAACTTAGAAAAAGAAATGAATTATGCATTCATGAGAATGGCGGCAATCTGGAAAAGAAAATTACCTCAAATCCAAGTATCTCGGAAACTAATGGCTTTTCGAAAATTGTTTATATCACAAAGGTTGCTTATAATTTAGAGATCTGTCAACAAAATATGTTTTCGGATTGCAGCGATATCTATACCTGCACTGAGAGGAACGGGATTTGTACTCACAAGTAAAGCCATTTATTGAAACTATACAGTGGATTTTTTAGAAATCATATATCTTTTCTGTTTTCGAGATATCCAGCTGGGGAGTTTTAAACGGAACACCCCGTATATGTACACTATGTAAGTTACAAAATGATGGAAAAAAATTCATATTTCTTTTCAGTTTTAAAAAATCGCTGAAACAGGTCAATTAGTAAATAGAAATTGTCACTTCTGCAATATTTTCAATTTTTTTGAGTCATGTTTAACAGACTTATAACATTACTGACATTTTTTTAAATAGGACGTTCTATATTTTGTAGTATAAATAAATACAAAACATAACATACCATACATAATAGACCAGGCGGTATCTGTTTTGGTTTGGGTGAATCGTATATCCACGGAGATTTTTGGCTTTTTGGCTTTCAAATATCACTAGAAATGAACATTTTTCTATGCGCATAAAAAAAACGT